ATAGTGAATTTTAGTGCATTTCACTTGTAAGAAATTAATATGTATTATGGATATTAGTTATTTTTTTCCTATATTAATCATGTGTTTATGATCACTACCTACCAATTTATTCCAAACAAGTTAATTTATTAGTGAATGCCGCGTTACCCCCTTTCTTCCGAAAAGACTTCATTACCCCAGTTTGAGAACCACTTTTCTAATAAGATTCTTCGTGTCCTATTCTAGCTGTGATCAAAGCTAGACTCTGATTACGGTTACATTTGCATAGCTCTATTCTTCATTTTCCTTTCATTTTTGTTTTTATTCATACATGTAGTTTTAGTTTTGTTTATTTATTTATTTATTATTCTATTTTTGTATTTCGTAGGTATGGATCGTCAATCTCTTCTGTATTTTGTATCGTTAAGTTCGTGCTTTTCTCAGATATTACAACCTTGATATTGATGTTAAGTTTACCTCCTTAATTTTGTAAATTCTGTCTTTCCTGGGCCTTCAAATATGGTTCTTAATGTTCCATCTGACATAGTTTCCACTTTAATTGTCCATTTATTCACACAGAGATAATTCTGTTTATTTTTTCTTCTTCTTTTACAGTTTTAGCTTGGTGAATTTATGAATAACCTTTTTGTGGCAGTCTTTCATAAAATCTTTTTTAAATTGTGGTTAAACTCGAGGTCTCTGGCATTTATGTCAATGAATTTGGACTGCTGGTTGAGATCTATAACGGTACCACAACTGTACAAAGAAGGTGAAGTTTTGTAAATTGTTTAATACCATAATTTGAACAAAATAAAATCGCAAGTCACATCCATCTAGCTCTTTACTTTTATGTTTCGTATCATTTTACTATTACATTTTATGTAAATATATTGTCTCTTTGGACACAAGTCCGTTGCAGACATGCAAATTGGAGGTACAGTATCCGTAGAATTATGATAACTATTAGCAATGTAACATTTGAATTCATATGCTTCAGTCATATAACGAATCTATTTTTTTCCGTTTCTCTCTCGTGTTATCCATCCGTCTAACCATTTGTCTATAGATAGACAGATAAATAGATATAAAGGTTAATATATATAATAAATAGGCACATATTTGCCACACGCAATGCGTACACCAAGCCATCAGACGATTGTTTGCAGTCAGACTTGGTCTCTTCTGTAGTCACAATCATCCAATTACCATCCATCTGAAGGCGACATGATTCACAGGCAGCGCTCCCTGACGCCATGAGCAGGCACCCACTACCAGTCACCTTCGAGGAGGTCCCCGCCGAGGTGGTCGCCAGGCACTCCTCCAGGGGCTTCTGCTACAAGAAGAAGATGGTGCGCACTGTGCCCGGAAGGTTTTCGCTCTCGGAGGCGTGAGTTTCGTCTTTTGCTCTGTTTTGGCTGTTCTCATTTTCGTTTGTTGGTTTGGCATTCTTCAGATATTTAGAATAATGACTGGACATTTTTTTTTCTATAAAGCAAACTTAAACTCATCGTAGGGCTTTAGAACATGCAATTACAAGAGAATTAAAGAAGGAACATGAACCGACGTAAAAAAAAAAAAAAGAAAAAAAAAACGTGGACAGGAACTTGTAATGTGTTTATCCACTACAAGAACATCCATCATATAACACTGACATTAATTTGACTTGTAAATAAAGAGATTTTCATTATGAATGTAGTTATCCTCAATACCATATAACTGTATATTTAGTCTTTTAGACACTTTCATCTTAAATTATCTGTATCCCGCGACCAGTGTATGCATATCATCTTTTCCTATTTAATTATTATTAATCACGAGGAATGTAATGGTGTCATTATATGTATGGGACAAGAGCAACTTAAGAAAGAATCCAGCTTAATGATATGTGGAAGTTATCCACAGGTATTGCAACGCGTTAGAAAAATTGCATGAAAATAAGTAAATAGAAGCGTTCATTGAAAATATGTTCATGGACGCCATATAGTTACTTCGATACATTTTCTAGGTAATTCACCTACACCTAACACGAATATGTATAACATTTCCTCGCTTCTAACATATATAAATGCGAGAGGGCATTTCCCCACTTCAGTATAGTACATGTATATTCGATAGGCTTTTTCTTCAGCTTAAGATAACGTATGTAAAATCGATGCACATTTCTTCACCTTAAAATAACACATGTAAAGATGACAGCCTCTTCCTCACCTCAAAACACCATACGTAAAATCGATATACATTTCCTCACCACAAAATAACACACACGTAAATTCGATAGGTCTTTTCCTCACTTCAAAATAACGTCACACACAAATCCGACACACGGTATGTTAATTCGACAAGCCTTTATTTAATATCAAAGACAGCCAGGGAATACTGAAACAGACGTTAAACTTTCAGGTATTTGAAACTTGCCGACGCCCACTATAACTTTGAATTCCGGGCCAGCGACGTCGTGTTGTTGTCTTACCCCAAGAGTGGTACAACATGGGCGTCCGAACTATTATGGGCGATGATGAAT